GCTATACGGAGACGAGGCACCCGCGGATGCAGGAGCTTGTTAAAGATGCGGTCTCGCTTATATCTACGGGAGGGGGTCCGCTCCAAAAGCTCGGGGCGACAAACCTCGAACAGCTGAGACTGACTCCCCCCCTCGCAAGACGAGCCGCACCTGCGGCATGCAGCCAAATTACCCGACACAAATATTTCGTGGCCCCGCATACGAGACATGGGGACACGGTCGGAGGGCTCCAGGGACCCAAAACTCGCACGACCCGCGGACGACGAGGGGGCCCTGGAACCAAGGGTGCACGGCCTCTTCGCGGGAGGCTCAACCTCCTGGGACGGCACGCAGTCCTGGGTGTGACGCTCAACCGTCTCGTCGAGCGACGGAGGCGGGTCGAGCTCGAAGCGAACGCGAGGGCGGACCGAGCGAGAGGGGGGCACGGTCCCAAACAGGGCCGTTTCGTCCCCTTCCCCCTCCTCCTCCTCCCTCGGGCGAATTGGCGGACGCCAGTCGTCCGAGACACACGGCCTGATGCGCACGCATCGCATGGGGAATTCGGACTCGGGCTCGCTCTCACGGGGCCGCTTGCTCCCGCCCCCACCCCCGCCCCGACTCCCCGACGACGACGACGGCGGCGGCGGCGCGGCAGCGGCGCCAGGCTCAGGGCGCGCCTGCGCGCGCACGGTGCCGCAGAGCGCGCGGAGCAATCTGCGCCTGCCTCCCTCAGAGCGGGCCGAGGCAAGACAGAGCGAGCACCTCCAGTGACCTCTGATCGACACGGGCCAATGGCAAAGGGCAGGAGGAGGGGGGGGAGGACGATGACGGAGGCGAGGAGGCTTCTGATGCCTACGCCTCAGCGGCGTCTCAGTGCGGTCAGGGGCGACCGCTCCAAGCGCCAAGGCCTCTTGGGACTGAGCAGCCCAGCGCGAGATCTGTCGGAGGAGGAGGAGAGAAGCAGCATGCTCATTCACAATATTTTCCGACAGCGCATGAATTTCCAATCCTTTGCGAGCTGCTTGGTCGGCGAAATCATCGCCAACCTTCTCAGCCGACCATTCCGTCTGATGAGATTTTACCCAATAGAAAGACAACGCATCATCCTGCAGGCCGCCGTGATCGTCTATCGCGCGCCAGATCTGGCGCCAAATATCAAGGTTCTGACGCGAAACATCCAAGCACCATTCACAGCCACGGAGGCTTATACCCTCAATGGCAGGCAAATGATCGGACTAATATCAAGAGGGGCCCTACCGACCTGAAGCACTTTCAAAATCGCAAACAGCTCGGCCCGAGGGACGCTTTGCTCGTGGCCAGGCAGCGGGCCAAACGCCTGGCCCCTTAGCGAGGCCCCAGCCATGACAGCGAAACCCCAGCCCGCACGGGCCGACTCGGGCCAAAAAGGGAGGATGCGGCCTGAGCCATCCGTAAAACAGTACCAGTGACATCTAGGGGGCCTAAGGCCCTAAGCTCATGCCCCCAACTTTCAATCATACAAGGGGGTCGCAGCTCAGGAAGCCAAGACCTTGGAAAGAGGCAGCGTTGGAAGAAGGGGCATTGCGTCGGAGCGTGACGGGCCCGCTCCAAGTGAGGGGCATCTATGGCCTCGACGCGTGCCTCTTCGCACTGCGGGCATCGATAAAATCGGTGATCCAGACAACCAGGCACCGCACCACAGGCCTGACATTCCTGAAACAAAGAGTAGCCATGCTGCCACAGGCTTTGCTGCGACCGCTGGCCACCAATCATGGTGGAGCGAAGGGCTGCCATGGCCAACGGCGACAGCTTCCACTTAGCGCGCTCTAAGAGGGCACGGATCGGCTCGACCCAGTAGCCGTCAGGGGCTCTCAGGCGCCTGCTCCTCCCGCTGAGCCCATTGACGCCAGCCGTCAAGCTCGTAGTCCCGCAGCGCCAAGGTGCGCGCCCAAGCCGGCGAGACCCCGGTCAAGTCGAGCGCGATGCCGCGCCGCGTGCGCCACAGGTGTGCCGACGATGCTGTCCAGCCAAGTCTGCGCAGCTGCAGTGCTAGCGCTCCAGCAGGGCCCACAACCATCTTCCACGGCTCCTTGGCCAGCAACACTCGCGGCGTCTGGAGCTGCCAGGCGTCCTGAAGCACCTCCAGGGGGACCGAGCGAGCCGCCGCCACGCGCGCCCATGTGTGGACAGGGCCCGTCACAGCAAGGCAGTCAGGATGCTGCCTCCAGGAGGGCTCGAGCCGCGAAGCTACCCACGTCGAAGACGCCGCAGGCGTCTTGGCCCAGCCGTCACGCACACAGGCCGCCATGCGCTTCACCAAGTGCGGCGGCGCGCTGGCGACCTGCAGCCCGTGCGTCATGCCAGGCCCAAGGGACGGAGAAGTGACCTGCCTGTACTCCTTCGTCCTGAGCCCGCGCAGGCGCCGAAAGCGCGGCATGCGCGCCGTCACCTTGCGCACGCGCTTCCCGACCACACCGTAGCGCAGCCGCCTGCCACCAGCGACCTCCATGCCCAGCACCTTGAAAACGGAGACGGGTTTGAAGCCATGCTTCTGAACACGACGAGCGACCGAGGTGGCGAGCGGCATGTCCGTGGCCATCACCTTGGCCTTGCTCACCGCGATCGGCAGCTCCAGGCCCCGCAGCGTGTCCGCCAGCAGCGCCAGCGTCTCCGCCGAGACCCGAATGATGTCCACGCGCTTCATGACGATCTGCAGCGTGAGGTCATCAGCGTAGATGTCGAGACTACGAGGCAGCCGAGCCGTCTCCTCCATGAACGCGTCCAGAGGCTCCAGGAACAGCAGCTGCAAGAAAAACATCGCGTCGGTGCAGCCAGGCAACACGCCTTGTAGCACCGTCGCGGCATATGAAAAAGGTCCCCGCCCACGACAGCCGACGAGGTGCGTGATACATGAGCAGAGCCATGCGAAGGATCGTCGTCGGGAAACCGTAGCGTTGAGCAGCCACAACGAGCTTGCGCCACGATACTCGATCGAAACACTTGTTGATATCCACCAGTGCCGTGACCACTGCTAGATCAGGGTGACGAGCGGCGGCCTCGAGCCGCACCAGCAGCCTCGCCGCCACGTCGACTGTGCACTTCTTCGCTCCCATGGCGAAGTAAGGGCGCGCGTGATCACGTGCCCAGCGCCGCACGTACACCAGCCTCAGCTTGGTCCACACACGGTAGACCGAGGGCAGGAGCGCGATCGGGCGAAAGCCCCCGCCCTCCTTGCTGAGAAGCACGATGTGCGCCATCATCATCTGGGTAGGCCACCGATGCCCCGTCTCGATGGCACACATCCGGTAAACAAGAAACGCCAGAGCCTCGTCGCCCAGCAGCGAGATCGCACGAGGGGACAGCTTATCGGGGCCAGTACCCGTGCGCCAAGGGAAAGTACGCGCCGCGCGCCTGACGTCAACTACCTCCGGCACTGGGAGGTGGTCAGAAGGCAGATCTCGAAGCAGTGCAGCCAATTCACAGCCGGAGGAATCTGCAGGCAAGAGATGTCCAACATCGAACTCAGGGTCCGCCACTTCAGCCACAGGAGCCAAAGATCCCAGCGCCGTGCCCTGCCAGATGCCGCACCACAGGTCCATCTGCCCGTCAGCGACCTCCTGAGCCTGCGACCGCAAGCGAGGTGAGGCCTGGACCGACGTGCTGGCAGACGACTCCGAGTGAATCCAGCCGCGCAACTTCGTATAGTTGAAGACCTGCGTGGGCGAGGTGACCAGCGCGTCCCTGGCCCACTTGAAGAAAGCCTTGCGCCTGGCAGCCGCAGCTGCCGTCTCCAGCGACTCGGCATGAGCATGCGCGGCGTCTGACACCGCCAAGAAAAGTGAAGAAGAAGGTGTGAGGCAATCGTTTGAGCCAATAGCTACGGACATAGGGCAAGCAGCAGCAGCATCGAGTAGGAATGGTAAGCCCTGAAAGAGATCGAGGCCACGCTCGGAGCACACATCGCGAATACGCCCCGCTTTCAAAACCCGACGGAGCCTCTGAGCCCGAAGTCCGATCCCCTGAGGCCTATCCAAGGCCACGGCATAATCAGCTATGGCTTGACCGATGTCCCTAAACAGCCTAGCCTCAGGCACACTAGCGGGCTTCCCGTGGGTGGGCAGTCCTCCTACGGGTCGCCAAACATACCTAGGGCCCTCAGACCTCCCCAGATATCGCTCCTTATCGTTCACTTGATAAATGTGACACAAATCAGCTTCCACCATGGAACAGAAGGAACCGTACAACGCGTCCAACCTAGGAGCAAGCTGACTCGTGTCGGAGGGCACCCCAAGAGCAGAATCCTCAGCGAGCACATCCAAATATGGCTGGGGCTCTGGGGGGCCCTCCAAAGGGTGGCATCCCGCAAACTCGGGATGGAGCCTGGGGAAGGCCTTGGGACCCTGAAAGCAGAGCTGCTGCATCTCCCGAGGATGGGCCGAGAGATCGAGCAGGATGGGGAAGTGGGGTCTGGCCGCCCAGTCAGGGGCACAACGTGGGTCCAGACACGCCTTCGCGAGAGAAGGACTGGCGAGCAAGAAATCGATAGCACGATAATTCCCCTGAGGCGAGCGACAGGTGCCCTCGCCGCTAGGCACCGCACACTGGGCAGGGAAGATATCAAGGAGACCTGTTACCTCGAGCTCACTAGCCGTGGTGTTCCAATCTCCTGCAATGAGAAACGGACGAGCATAATACCTGAGCACCTCCCCGAGACGCGTCAGCTTCTGAAAATTGCGAGACAGGTACGCATGATCTGGCACATATTCTACATACACAGAGCCGAGAATCACTCCCCCAGGTGGGCCAAGATCAGCATGAACTGCCACACTCCACGATGGTACAACTTCAAAACTCTGCGTGCCGTCGGGCATCTCCAACAGACGTGTCGATACGAAATCGCGGATGAACAAGCCTACTCCCGCACTAGGCTTACCCGACTCCAACCGACGGCACGCCGAAATATACGCCTTCCAGCCGTGACGCGAAGCCCAAAGCGTCGCTGCCTGCAGATCCCCAGCATCCACACGCAACTCTTGGGCCGCCACGACCATGATGCCTTCCGCGCTCTGCTCCAGGAACTGCCGACAGCTGAGCCAGCAGGAGCCGTTGAAGGAGGCGAGCGTGATCTGCTTCTTGCGCGCCCTCCGCGGCGCACGATGCCTAGCCCAACTGCGCGAGCTCAGGCTGCGGTGGGCCTGCACTGGCCGCGGCTGCCCCGAGTCCTCCCCCAGGGGCGCTAGGGGGAGGGCGAAACGCCATGGCCGCCGCAGGGGACGCACTGCCCATGACCACGTCGTTCCTCGCGGGCGGCTCGGCCGCTGCGGGGGCCCCCGACGCCAGCGGCGCCGCGCCAGCTGTGGCCGCAGGACCGCCCAGCGGTGCCGTCGGAGCAGCCAGAGTGCTGCCCGGCGGAGGGGGGCCCGGTGCAGCGGCGCCGGCTGCCAAGGCCGCGGCCCGCGAGGCAGGGAAGGCCACCCCCATGGCCTGCACCTCGGCGTGGATCGACTGCAGCAGCTGCAAGCCCTGGCCCGACGCAACCGAGCCCTCTGCGTTGTTAATGAGCGTCTGGAGGTTGAGCAGGTTGGTCGCCACGGCCGCGAGGTCCATGCCCTGGTACCCTGCCGTGGCGATGGTGACCGCCTTCCGCGCCTCCAGGACCTCCTTCTGCAGCGACTCCACGTCCTCCGACAAGGCGCTGGCCTTCTGGCGCAAGGTAGCCACGCGCTCCTCCGCCTCGGCCAGCTGCGTGTCCACGTCGAGCTTCTCCTTCGACTTGAGGGCGAGGCGATCCTGGGCGCTGCGCAGCACATCCTCAGGCGGGCGCGTCTTCCGCTCCTCGGCCCCCAGGAGCTGGACCTCCCGAGCGGCTGCGACGACCAGCGGGTGATCCTCGTCGTACTTGAGGCGGCGGAGAGCGGCGAGCCCCTTGCGGGCTCGGACCACGGCCTGGGACTCCTCCAGCTGGTCCCTGGCCCGCTCAGCCCGCTCTCCGCCATCGGCGTCGCGATCGCGGCGGCGACGGCGATCAGCCGCAGCAGAGGCCGACCGCGTGCGTGCAGGGGCTTCCGATCCAGCAGGCCTGCGCCCCTGCCAATCGCGCCCGCGCTTCCAGCACGACGACCTCGAAGCGAAGTTGGTCTTGAAGCCGCAGAGCCTGGTCGCGACGCAAGCCCACTGGCGATCCGCTGCTCCGTCGGCGCCTCCTGCGGCCGTCGCCCACGGGCGAGGGGCCTCCGCAGCGCCTGGCGCCGTCGAGCCACGGACGCCACCGCCAGCAGCGTGCTCGCCGTGATGTCCTGCGAGGACGGCGCGAGCGCGGGCCTGCCTCAGGAGCAGGCGGGCGGCCGCGCGCGCTCGGCGAACCCGCCGATGCCACGCGGGCGATCGCGCCCGAGCGGTCTCTGGCGGGGGAAACGGAATGTTCACCGACGCCCGCTGAACACGGGCGACGGCTGGGGGCTGAGGCAAGCGGGCCGACCCCTCGGCCGCGGCCTGAGCCACCTAGGAGGAGGAGGAGGAGCAGGAGGAAGGAGGAGGAGGAGGAAGTGGAGGAGGAGGAGGAGGAGGAGGAGGAGGAGCAGGAGGAAGGAGGAGGACGAGGCGGAGGAGGAGGAGTTCAGTTCAGTTCAGTTCGTTCTGGGAAGTCCGAATTTCGAAAGTGCCGCTACTCTGGACTTCTGAGCGTCGCCTTCGCGACAGTCTACTCTCTCATGGAAACCGCGCTGGCCACCATGCTCCCTCGAGCACCGCTCGCGCAGCCCCTCCAGGGCGACCGCCGTTCGGGCGCGCAGCCCTGGCGGATACCCCTTGGGGGCCAGCGATTCAAGCAGAGCCGTCGCCCGTCCCGCCCAGCTCACCACCCCTCGTCCCGCGAGACGACTGGCCTCGCGAACCTGCTCGCCATCTGTGCGTGCTTCCTCCACTCGGAGGGCGCGCAGCACCCGCGTTGGCATTCACTGCGCCCCTGGAGTGCCCTCTCCCCGTCCTTTGGGCTTGGGGCGAGGCGTGGGAGGAGCAAAGACAGTGGGGACAGTGGGCAAAGAGACAGAGGAGTACGAGACGAGGCGAGAAGATGGCGGAGCGAGCACACTGGATGGTACGAGGCCCCTTCGAATCAAGGAGGCCAAACGATCACTCTGCTGCATCCACTGACTACTCACTTCTGCTGCATTTCCGTGACGATGCGCGATACCTCGCGCTCCAAGGGTCCCTTGGGGGCTGGGCCCGCCACCCGCTCGATCTTCTGAATCTTGACCATGTAGCCGAGAGCCGCCGTCCACATCGCGCTCACGAGGGGATTCTTCATGCGCACCGCCATGCTGAGGACCCCCTTCGCGTCGGCGCTGTCCCTCCGCGCCTTCTTGTAGCGGAAGTGGAGGACGTCCGCGCCGATCTCGGACGGCGCCTTCAGCAAGATCACCGTCTCCCAGTACTCCTTGATGGGGCCGTAGATGCTCTCGTCCGCGTGGACCGACCCCGCCTTGGTGAGCTCCAGGATGCGACGCAGCACGTTGATGAACACGCGCACGTGCGGGGCGCCCCTCGAGCGGAAGTCCACCACCTCGCCGTTCTTCTGCTTCTGCTTCAGCTCGCCTGAGGTCTTCTCGTAGCCGGCACACGTGCCCGGTCGTCTCCTCGCCATCCTCTGACGCGAAGTAGCTCTCGTGCACGGCCGACTCCAGCGTCGCGATCTGGCGGGCGCCCGTCAGCACCACCTTCGCGAGCATGATCACCAACATGCGGTAGTCGTCCTTGGGACCTCGACCTCCGCCCCCTCCTCCCTTGCCCGCCGCCTTGGCGACCTTCTGGTCGCGAGCTGGCGCCGATCCGAGGGCCTCCGCCGCGGGCCGCTTCATCCACGACGGCATCGCGGTCTCCGCCATGGCTACGCCTGACGGAGAAGCCCGCGCAGAAACGTGTAGGTGCAGGTCGATCCCGCAAGATTCTCCACGGAAGGTGAACCAACAGATGGCTACTGTAGGCCTGGTAATTCCCCCCCTCGAAAGGACAAACCTCATAGCGAAAATCATCAGGAACAACATAATTAGTAATAGACTTCCTCTTAATATTGCATGATGTAGGTCACGGGATGCTGTAACTTTAGACCGAAATACTCGATCACAAACCGGGCAATGGTTAGTCTTGATCAGGACGTGGCCTAGGTTCCTTATGTGGTGCTGTGCTCGTAGATGATTCATAAGACCTTTCGCAGTACTGAAAACTTGTTGACATTGTTGCCCATCATCACCTGACGCTGTACATTTAAACGGGAGGTCAGTTTCAGTGTCAGCTTCCATATTCAAGCTCGGTACGGCAGGGGAGCTCCACTCAGGCGGGGGGACCTCGAACGACTTCCGACAATCACGAACCCGACGAAAGTCAATGCACTTAAACTAGAACCACGCGCGCGCTTCGCGCGCGCTTAGGTTCTGTCGAGTCACAGACCCAGGAATCGTTGTGAGAAGAAATTGGTGACGCGAAGCGTCGTGGGGGCGTCCTTGGACGTCTGGGGTCTCCTGGGGCCTCTTGAGGGGCCTCCTGGGGGCCTCCTGGCGGCCTCTTGGGGCGGAAGGCTCGAGCTTGCGGTTCGTGGTCCCCCTCTGGGCCCCCTCTTGGGCCCGTCTTGGGGCCCTCTTGGGCCATCTTGGGCGCCTCTTGGGCCGTCTTGGGGCCCTCTTGGGCTGTCCTGGGGCCCTCTTGGAAGCTTCTTGGGCCGTCTTGGGGCGGTCTTGGGCGCCTCTTGGGCCGTCCTGTAACGTCGGAAAGCCCAAAAGGCGACTTTGTTGAAAATGTACGTTTTACGAAGGGAATTGGCCAATTTTTGCGTCTAGGGGCCCTCTTGGGACGCATGTTGGAGGCTTCTTGGGGCGTCTTGGGGGCGTCCTTGGACGTCTGGGGTCTCCTGGGGCCTCTTGAGGGGCCTCCTGGGGGCCTCCTGGCGGCCTCTTGGGGCGGAAGGCTCGAGCTTGCGGTTCGTGGTCCCCCTCTGGGCCCCCTCTTGGGCCCGTCTTGGGGCCCTCTTGGGCCATCTTGGGCGCCTCTTGGGCCGTCTTGGGGCCCTCTTGGGCTGTCCTGGGGCCCTCTTGGAAGCTTCTTGGGCCGTCTTGGGGCAGTCTTGGGCGCCTCTTGGGCCGTCCTGTAACGTCGGAAAACCCAGGAGAGAACTTTGTTGAACATGTACGTTTTACGTAGGGAATGGGCAATTTTTTGCGTATATGGGGCCCTCTTGGGACGCATGTTGGAAGCTTCTTGGGGCCTCTCGGGGGCGTCCTTGGACGTCTGGAGGCCATCTTCAGCATCTCGGAGCCCTCTTGGAGGCCTCTTGGAAGTTTCTTGGGCCGTCTTGGGCGTTCCTGGGGCCGTCTTGTCTGACCGGGGAGGCCCCCGGCAAGCCCCGACGAGCCTCCAGAGCCCCCGGCCCCCACATTTGCGGTCGTGGTCCCGGCCCCGGGCCCCCGGACCAGGTGCGCCGTTATATGTATACTCCCTCATCACTTCCTCATCCTCGATCAACAGCCAAGGGCAGGTAGAAATACGTTCTAGTAGTTCCTCGTGGTCAGAGCACGCACGGGCAGCTTCCTTACAATCAAGACCGACGCGTTTAGTCCATGGCGACGCCCACTCCGTGAGCCCCGACTCCGAACAAGGCCAGCGATCATTCTGTCCAGAGGGGAGGCCCGCAAACAACGCTGTCAATATCTGCACATGATCATCTCGTGCAGAGGCCCAACCTTGGTACCACGCCAATCTCCTAGTTAAAAGCTCGATCGAACAAGTGGCAATATCCCAATACTGCAATACTTCTTCGGTGGACAACGATCTCTTCGAACCATCTTCTCTCTCCGCACACGCAACGCCCTGCATCGCTGAACGACCAAGACGAGCCCAGTGACGATCCATGGCACTCAGCTGGTTCTCGCTCAAGATGAACGGCTCCATGCCCGAAAGTAGGGAGCCTTGCGCAAGTCCTACAAAAATGGTTCTCTTCCACCGCTTCGGGGATCGTATAGCCCAGAACGAGCCCATACTATAATATGCCGACGTGGCAGCAACCAGACGCCTCTCGACTTCAGGCGCATATGCTTGGGTAGGGGTAATCGCTGGTCCGAGATAACGAGCTACATCACATACAGGCCCATCTAATCTCTTCTTCTTTACCCCCTCCTCCCTTATGTATTTTTTACATGCTGATGTGCCCATTCCCCCACTGTAAAAGCTAGTGCTCTGTTTTTTTGTCGTCTTTGCACATAGCCAGCTGGACGCAACGCCTCGTCGAGAACCCGATCTGCCTCGTGGAGTTGGGGGAACGCCTCTTCCATGGACGTGCCGACAGGAAACAACAGGGTGCGCAAGAGGTCATCAGCATATTTCTGATACGACATGTCCACCGGCCGTCCGCACCACTGGGCTTCAAGAAGACACGTGGACGGCAGCTGGGATCTGATCTCGTCGGCGCACTGTTGGACAGGAGCGATAAATGCGCCTGAGAACCCATGCGCGTTGAAGGGGTCCCCCATGACTCCACCTACCCCAGTTTTTACTGACAATATGCCCGAGGACGTTTCTACTTCGACAGCTGACAAACGGCACCGCTGCCGACACAGAACACGATCATGGTGGGGAACAACTTCCTGCACTACTTTATCTAGACGGTCCCATCGAGTACTGCCAAATGTATTAGATAGGTCCTTCATTGTAGTAGCATATGCCCACCCCGCCTGCCTAAGTCTATATCCTATAATCATTGCACTCGCAATAGCATCCTCTCTACGACGATGGCGAGCGAATCCGCGATCCTGATCCGGTAACTTCTGGATTAACCTCTTTGCAAACCACGCCTTGCCAAAGGAGGGGAGGGCGTGCATGAGTCGCCTACCTCGCGGTCCTGGATCCGAAGACTTCGGGGGGCCCACCCCTCTGGAACGACGCCAATGCAACCGAGTCGTTGTGCCCGCCGAAATCTGGGAC